GTCTGTCTGTCTGTCTGTCTGTCTGTCTGTCTGTCTGTCTGTCTGTCTGTCCGTCTGTCCTTCCATCCGTCTATCCGCCTGTCCGTCCGTCCGTCTGTCTTTATGTTTGTCTCCAGCTGCTGCAGAACACACTCACACAGGTACAGGACAAATATTGGAGAAAATTTAGAAATTAAAATCAGACTGACATAAGAATTAGATATATTTGTCTCCTGAGCTTCAGAAAATAAAAAAAATCAGCTGTAAACTCCCTGTAGTTTTAGGTTTATCAGAGCATATTTTCTTAGAGTGAGTTGCTTGTAGTAATGATTAAACATAACAGACTGACTTGTTTTTTATACATAATCATTTTTGTTTTTCGTCATGCAACAGATGCACCTTGGCAAATGGTTGTAACTTAAATTTAAACATTTATGCCATGTCATTTTGTCACACTGTGAAATTCTGAATTAAACAGTCAGAACTGTCGCTGACATGATTGTCTGTATTTCCCAAATCGCAGCTGGTTTCAAAAGGAAACTATGAAAAACAGAATTGTCCCTCAAATTTATCCACCACTGCAAACTGTGGGAGACTGTAACACTCCCTTCAGAAAATACGTTTACGACAAGGGGTATAGAAGAAAAAAAGTTTTGAAGTATAGGAGAACATACTCAAAACCGCTTTGTGGTCATTCGCTCTTCTTTTTCTACAGAGATGTCATGTGTTTAAATATGTGACCATGGTTGTATAAAGGAATAGTTGGTCTAACTCATTCACTCCCCTGTAGATAGAAACCAGGTTCCATTACAGCAACAACAAGCTTATTTGGCAGGAGAAGGCGTTACTTGAAAATTTAACTGATCACAATTGCTGTAACTTTTTGAATAGCTCTTCAGTTAACCTTATCAAGTCAATATTGAACAATGGTCAATTCAAGAAAGGTTTATAATATCCTTATAGTTAGCTTTTACCGAAATTATTACTGGCATTATCAAGACTCATATTAATCATAAACTGGCATGATATTCTTGAAGTTTTTTCACAAAATCTAAGCTTCATGTATAAAATATCATCATTTATTTCAAAATTTGAATTCATAGCCATTATAAAAAAGTAAGCAAATTACTCAACAGAGTTTTATCAACAGCCAGAAAAAAAGGAAATAAACAAAAACCTAAACTAAACTAAACTAAACTAAACTAAAAATCAACTCAATTAACACCCAGGTCTGGGAAACAATAGACACATAAATATATGTGTTTCCAGGATAAAAAGATAAAAAGATTTAGGCTTGTTCAAATACGAATTTGCAGGAAAAGCAGAGATCTGCAGTCACCCCTCTAATTCCACAATATGTTTTGTCTCATCTGTGACAGGCATTTATTGCTGTTTGTTGCTCATTAATCTCTTAATCCTCTCCTGTTGATGAGCACATAACTCCACAGCCATAATTGATGTAAGAACACTGTCTATGTTTTTGGTAGACTTCTGAAACTCTCAATAAATCACGTCCTCTCCAACAAATCCCTAGATTATAAACACTGTTGATGACCAGACGTGACATTTTCAAAGTGCTGGGATTAATTTGGCTTGGAAAATAAAGTAGCCAAAGAGAATCTATGGGAAGACAAAAACATGAAGAAAATTATTGCAGTAGTAAGAGTTAAAGCTCAGTTACTGAAGTATTTACATGAATGCGACTTTTGCGATATCATCTATGATACTTAAAACTGATCATTAGTTCCTTTCAGTTTAAAGTTTTGGTTTCTTACATTTGAAAATGGCTAAAATCCACCACTCTCAAAACACATACAACACTGACACCTGGGAATATTCCCCATCTTTTGTTTTCGAAGTGTTTTAGCAACAAATCTCCACGCCAAAAGTCACAACCGAACTATAATAAAGTATTGAATAAAGCCGTTACTGCTGTAACCATAAGAAGAGAACTGCTTGTCAGAGAAACTATCGGCTCCACTAACGTGATAAATGTACGCTTGAAAAATGAGATGTGTGGAATGCGATCCAAGAAAAAAGATGGGAATCTTCGAGTGAGCTATCCTTTTCAGTGGCAGTAAAAAAAAATTAAGAAAGTGATGTAGATTTGTTTAGGAGGATTAATGGTTTAACATTTTTTACACGAGTCATACAGCGGATTGTTTCCAGTAAATGCCAGAAGCACGCAATGCCCCGATAAAACAAGTACCCATTTTTAGACATAAATGGCCTCAAAGCAGTATAAAGATGTATTTTTTAAGTGTTTTCGAAAGATGGACGTATTTCAATTAGTGACCTGCTCAAAGCTACGTCTAAAGGCGAGCTTCCATGGTGTCCAACATGACCTAAAAGTATGAAAAAACAAAGTCCCTCTGCAACACAAACTCACTGCGTAGCAACAGGCGTCCGAATAGGTTTTTTCCCCTGGCTGTTGTGTTGCAGTTCCAGCGGTGATTTCGGAACTGATGCTGGCACTCGGTGATCCAGTCCTTCATTCCCAGCCCGATGGCTTGCATCACCTTGGGTTGCTGGCGGCATATTTGGCGTTGTTTGCTCACCAGGCCGGGAATGTTGTTGCACATGACCTGGGAGCCCAAAGTACCCATGTACCTGTGCATTACACAGGCAAATACCACTGAGCAGGAAGCCTATTTAGGAATGCGTTTTACTTTATAGTTAGGAAAAAACGTATAACAGAAAAATTATAAAGAAATCATGAAAAGGGATTAAAGAATAAAAGGACCTTAACGAGAAGAGATATGACAACAAAGTGAAATGTGAGCCTAACGGTTAATTTTGGTAAAACATTTCAAACATTGACCCTTGGATAACATTGGATAAAGGAACAAAATTGGGGACATGATTTCTCAACATAAATCCCCCTTGAATTAATCTGAACAAAAGTTCTGTTTCAATAATAGAATATCGGTATGATGTGTGAAATTGAGAAAAAAAATGCATAAAAGTGTTCAGAAGTTAGATAATGAGATATTAAACAATATCAAATTGATTGAGCCTAAACATCCAGCTATCTAAAAATAGTCAGGCTCATATAAGCTACAAAAATACAGTTATGAAAGCCACGGGTAACTGTCGTCAGGAAAAAAAAAATCAAATTAAGCAGTAACAAAGGTTTTGTTGGGAACATTTTCAAAGGTACTGGCAATTCCCGTGATTTTCCCACTCATGATCATGTAAACAGATGTTTCCTGGAAGTTATAAAGGAGTTAGACTGTTTAACTTTTAAAACACACAGACAGAAATAACTTACCACCAAGAGGCATCAACCCTGGGCATCAGCCAGTAAATAGCTACAGAGAGATAAAAACATATTCCACTCGGGAAAAAGTTCATATTAGTCAGACTTTTTCTCCTTTAAGGATGTGGACGGAACATTTCCAGGGCTGAAGGTGAATCGTAAAACATTCACAAATAAACGAATCGCCGCTGTAGCAAACTTCATAGACACAAGTCAAAGGACAGACGAGGTGTGCGAAGTCCTTATCGAGGAAGATAAGTGAGGAAGAGGCATACGGAGACTGTGGTCCCCGCAAAGATTCTCACAGAGGATATTGCTGTGCACGGAGGAGGAGGGGGGGTCGTGTCGGGAATGAGGTGAAGACATTTTTCAATTGAAAGATTTGGCTGGTTTGATACCAGGAAGGCTTGTCCCTGTCCGAAACCTGGAGCCCAGGTCCAAGTTGATGGGCTCCCAACTCCAACTGCGCCCAGGCACGCAGGGAAGCGGTGTATCCATCCAGACAAAACGAACAACAAAAAACACCCAAATACATTTTATTCTGAACTCAATAAGACAAAGGCTGTGTAGTGGAGTAGTTATTTTACAGGGAAATCACAAACTCCCAGAAAATTAAACGCATCAAATGAGGACGTGTCGTCCATGTCCGACACAAAGAAGTCTGATGTTTGATTTGATGTGTGAATATCATCCGCATAACATAGTGATTATTTCCTCTGTTTTCCCCAAAAACAAGTCGAGGGCTGTCATTGCTCTGATCAAATAACATTTTGAATAGGGACACTGCCAAAGCCACAAAACATGAAGGGGTAAAATATTCCTGATTTTACTTAGCCTACTGATATTTGCACATCCGAAGACCCAGGCCAGCCAAACTGTATTTCTACTATAACCACCCTGGAAGAACATTATAAAATCAAATCTTGCTGTTTTTTTAAACTCACTCTTCCCTTGTCACTGTGTAAATAACTGTACATTAAGGTAGGAAATTACACCTAAAGCTGAAGATGTGAACGTGTTGAATAATAAGCTTTAGAATTCCAGATTTAATTTCTGCAACATCAGTAGCCATGATGTCTCTGTAAAAGAGGTTTCAAATTTCACTGGCATAACATTTTCTAACTTTCACTACTTCATGATTAAGGTAATTTCTGGCAGTTTGATATCATCTGTCTTAAGGTCTGCAGTTGAGCTGGCTGACATTACTTTTTCTCAGGTTTTTAGAAAAGAAATGTGGAAACATTAGAATGGAACTGCACAACAAAGTAATGCCTCTTTATTTGTTCACCAGCTTTAATTTAAACTAGAATATTAAAGCACTAACATACTACACTTGTATGCAAAGTGAGCAATGTACCACAAAAATGTCAGCTCTTTCAGATACATTTAGTTGAATAAAAACATTTTGAAAAAAATGAGTGTGTGGTGGGTTGAATTTACTGCTAAAGTAAAGAAGGCAAAAAAAAGCAAGTCACATTGTGAAATGAGCACTTCAGCAGTGTTTTTTTTATGTCAACAAAGAAAACTTTTCCATTTCTACTTTCAGCTAGTATTCCAACTAAGATGAACTCATTGCCAGCATCATCGCCACATAGTGCACAGACATAAGACTGGTAATATATAAGAACAAAACAAAGCAGTCAATTCAAATATCCAAATTTCAATAAATGACGATAACAAAATAGTACAAAATATTTAATCATTTAACACTTAAAACATCCAAAAACCTATATCAAGGTAAAAGATAAATTAGAGCTAATTAAGGAACAAAACATCACAAAACTAAAACAATTTTTCTAATTATTCTTAATACATCAAAACTCTTAGAATGAAATCTAGAGGCAACCTACAGTCACTAAATAAAAACAAAAAAACATTAGCTCCTTCTGCAACACAATTAGAAGATTCTCCTACACATCTGCAGGTAACCTTTGCCACGAGCTACTTTGTAGAGAAGAAGAAGGACAGCAGCTCCGAGTGTGCTCACTGTCATTCTGGTCAGGGACCCCCACCACTTCTTGGGGGAATTAGGTTGACGAACCTGAAAGGAGTCTTCAGATTCATCCGTCTGAGGGAAGACAACAAAGTAAGACTGGGAAGTTAAATACACAAAAACCTGATCCTGTGCAAAACGTAACTTCAACTCCATACAGGAAACAAAAGTACGTCGTACCTAATCCAACTGGGACAATGGCAGTTAAACTAATCAAACCCTTAAAGGCTGACTGGGTGAGATTCATTGTAATTCATTGTAATCAAAATGAGACCAGTTGAGGGTTAGGGCATTTCTGCGCACCAAAACATTATGTCCCAACTTGAGTCATCAAGGCTTTGAATAAAAAATCCTAAAGGATTCATCAGCAAAGTGGAGAACTGAGGCTTGGTCATTATAAATTTGTCTCGGATTATGTTTAGTTTTTGATGCCATATATTTATTTGTTTGTCTTATTTATTCTATTGTTCTAATAGTACACAGTGTGTGTGTGTGTGTGGTTGCTTGTCTCTGTGCGGCCCTCTGACGAACTAGCGACCTTGTCCAGGATGTACACCGCCTCTCACCCATAGTAAGCTGGGAAAGGCTCCATCCCCTGCGACCTCATTGCGAATAAGTGGTGTAGGAATGGATGGATAGATGGATAAAACCATCTTAAACATAAAAAAAGTTCAATGTACTGGACAATTTTAATTTCCTTTACTGGGATATAAATAACGTATTTCTACTCTATTTTCTATTCTAATAGTTATATTCGAAAAACTGAACAAAAGTTCAAACCATCTGAAAATAATAAACTTTAAGAGTGAATATAGATATGTCTTGGCATGATATTTTTTAAACGTGACCAGGGGTTTTTCTGTACTCAGGATTTCAGCAATTGCTGAAAGGATTGCTAAATTATGCATTTATATTATATATCTATATAATCTGTTTTAAATTTTGGATAACAAATTCAAACACAGTAAAAATCAGATTCAGATAAAAAAATCAGAGTTTCAGAGGTAAAAAAGTGAATAGACTGGGCAAGTATCCACTTACCCATTAGCGATACACTCTCCTATTCAAAGAAAATGGCTGTGGAGGTTGTTTGTCAACACACTTGACTTGATTACTTCAACAACTTACAGCAAAAACAAAGTAATAAGTCAAGACATAGGTATATCAAGTTAAAACTCCCATCTCAATGTGAACATGTTGAGGTGATACCTGATATAGTTCCCCAAAAGCCCTGCAGAAAATAACTAATGTTGGTCTTGAAGCTGGCAGATCAAAGTAAAACAACAAAGGACCCAAAGTTGTTGCACATTGTGAATTCATGGGGGGTTAAAAGTGCACTAGTCAGTGCTTATGACGCCATGTAATAAAACGAACTAGAACATTTCAAAAGAAATTTTGATGGAGGGCCACCTACTGCCCGCTCCAATAACCCCCAATCAATGAGGGCTATTGGTGATGAATTATCACGTCCATTATTGGGGATTTAGACATGCACTCCACTTCCTGGTTTGAGGAGCAAATCAGGGGCAAAGCATTCTGGGAGCAGAGTTCCAGGTCAGCTGTGGCTCAGCTCCACAGCAGAAAAGTCATAATGTCCTTTTAGTTACCAAGTAAGGAAATAATATTTATCTGCAACTACGTCCAGCTCTTGCAAACACAACCCCCACCCGTGCCTTTCTGTCAGCTCCCTCATCTCTATGCTTAAGTGTCTGTATGCTGACAGTCTGATGTCACAGCTTTGCTGACTTGTGGGCTAAGAGGGATCTGCACAGCAAGGAATGACTGTCTCCTCTATGAATGCAAATGCAAACAAATATATGCGCAAAAAGTCAGGTACACACATGCAGACGATACCTGTTGATTAATTCATATAGTCCTACACCCTACAGGCAAAATACATTTTGGTCATATTGCGTTTCATCGTTGGATAAAAGGGAAAGCGTCAAACAGCTAGTTGTATGAAATGGACTTGTTGGAAGTGTAAATGTTCACAGGCAGATAGTCTATATCTCTTGAGAAGTAGCAGAATCAACAAAGTGTAAACACAAATGGAACTTTATTTGAGATACTTAGTTTTAATCATCTATATCTAAATATAAATACAAATATAAATATATTTAATTTCCATTTCTGTATATATCAATTGTTTATATATATTGCTAATCAGAAAATGATCCTGCTCATGCAGATAATATCAATGCACAACTGTTTTACCCAATCTTTTTCAGTTGATTTTGATAGTATTATTTGGTAAAGGAAGATAAGAAAAATTGGTTTTAAAACAAATATGCTATAAGAATGAACAGTGTAGGAATATATACAAGTATCTGTGTATGTAAGTGTTGACCTGGCTTAGGAGGTTACGGAGGCAGATGACTTCCTTCTGCAGGTCTTTAGTCTGGACAATCAGCTGGTTGCAGATAGTCTGGGCCTCTTTATTTGGGTCCAGTGAGAAAACCACCTAGTTAAACAACCACACACATGCAGAGATTTTATAGATTAAACAGAACAGTAAGCAAAAAAGACAAAGAAAGCCAAAAGACAAAGAAGATCAGAATCTTATTATACTCATCATAAAATGAGACCAAACTGATTTTCCGTGTTAGGAAGCTGACTTTAACTAAAATTGAGCATGTCAAACTGATGAGCAAACCCCCAACAAGTAAAGCATTACATAAAACATGTACCTGAGAGGACTGGCGAGGAAAACGAATGATGACATCCTGAATCATCTCTATCAGGTAGCAGCATTGTTGATTCACACTTATGAGAAAGCTTTGTAAATCCTCATTCCTAAAAAAGATTAAAGAGTAATGTAAGTAAAAAGATAAATCAAAGAAAATAACATTTTTATGAAAACCATATCACTAAATCACAGCAGCACAACCCTTATAAACAGCACTGCTCATAGTTTACTGCAGGAATGGCCAACCCATGGCTCCTGAGCTGCATGCGTCTCGTTGCTTGGTTCCTTTGAGTTAAACACAGTATTTTATTCAAACGCCCATGTGCGTTGAATGAAAATACCTCAAAGTTTCCTAGTAGGAGCAAGATCATGAGTAAACGTTTTGTGTCAAATTCGCTCTCAAAATGGCAGGGGAAAAAATGCACAGTAAAATTAAAATAAAAAGAGGAACATAGGACGTTTTTAGGAGAGTGTGAGAGAGTGTTTTATTTTGTTGACCTTAATGGCAAGCCATTCGGCTTTATATACCAGAAGTCCTATAAAGTAACATGCAGGAAAAAGTAATTGTAAGTTATTATATCTTTGTATGTCGACTTGGTTAAACTGAGAGTTTGTCTATGTGAGACAGTGCACACAATGTTCATTGTTAAAAAATGACAGTCAATTTCTGCCATTATCACGTCGATGTGTGACATTTACAATAAATATGGCTGAGAAAAGGTATGTGTGTGTGTAAGAAGCGATGTTCATGTGTGCCCATGTGTATGATGTGGCTCTTTGCGGTAATACAGTAAAAAATGTGGCTCTTGGTCTCTGCCTGGTTGGGCATGCTGGTTTACTGTCTATCTATCTATCTATCTATCTATCTATCTATCTATCTATCTATCTATCTATCTATCTATCTATCTATCTAAATGCGAACATGTGACCAATGCTTCATTCCACATCCTTCTCATACTAACTGATGCTGTCTTCCCTACCTGAAATAGCCAACCTTAAATATTCATCAACCTCTCAGCCCCTCTCTTCTCAGCCCCTGAAACTGGGTCTTATTGATAGTTCTAATGTTAATGGTGTATTTCTCTAGCTAAGGGCACAGAGCAGGCAGCTGTCCAAGCCCCTCTAACACTCTGTCAGAGCAGTGAATAAACAGTGTCAGTGAACCTCTGCTGCACTCCCTTTTTCTCTGGTTAGTTTATTTAGGGTCAGAGAGGGATAATGGACCCGGTTAAAGGCATGGCAGATATTATGTTTTGAATTATGACCTCCAGAACACAGATGATAGATAAATAGGTAATAGATAAATAATTATTTTTACTGTACACATATTTCCATGTAGCTTAAGACTAGTTATCATTGTGTATTGCATTTGGTAGTGTTCGGTACCATATCTATTTAAAATTCTGAAACACATGATTTCACAGTTTTTATGTTAATTTTTGTCAGTAAAATTACAAATGTTTAATCCTTTCAACTGAAAAGGCATAATTTTATCCAATTAGGACTGAAACCATAAATTAGAAGTAGAAGTCTTTAAAACCTCTCCATGAAGTTTCTTTTCTGTACTTTTAATATTCAATCAGCTCTGATAAAATGCTTTAATTTGTCAATTCAGTTCATTCTGTTTAGCATCACAGTTCCAGTAGGAATGTTATGCTCCTTTTCCCTCTGACAAAGGAGGGTAACGTTCAAACATTAGCTAAGATTAGAGGTTACATTTTTTAATGTACAATTTGACAGAATAAAAAAAGTGAAAATAAGCCTTTACTTCATCATTGCTTTTTGATTGTTTTATATGTTCCAAATGTTTAAAAAAAAATATATATAGCCTAAATTCAATCCCAACAGTCAGCTTCTCCTTCTCTATTAGATGAGTCTGTTTAGGTATGAAGCTAAGTGAGGCCCAAATTTTGAGTTTGGCAGACAATTCAGGGAGGGTCTGGCCTTTACTGCTTGCTCTTCTTCGCTCATCCCAACCACCTATAACCTCTCACTTTACAAATCATTAGAGCTGAGCATAAATCATTAGAGTCTGGTTCAAGGTTAAGCTATGGATATGGGGGATGGGAGATGCAGACAGGATGGTGAGATGCTTATAGGGCTGATGGATGACTTCTAGTTGAGGACAGATGTTAACATGCATGTTAAGCTTAATGTGGAGGATGGTTCAAGGTGTCTGCAAGAAAGGAGGAAGTCTGCAAGAAAGGAGGATGTGGTGATATCTGGACTCAAAACAACACACCTTACATATGCAAGGGCAACAGCAGAAGACAATAAAGGGGAAGATGCACCACCAGATGAACTACTTTCTGTTGAGCAGCAAGTCATCAAGTTCTTCAGCAGCAAAGGGATTTTGCTGGACAGTAAAACCATTGCTGCTTGTTATACAATCCCCTACAAACCAAACACAAACATGGATAAAAGGAAAAAAAGACCAAATATCATCCTCCGGTTTGTGAGTACAAAACACAAAATTGAATTGCTAAAAGATGTAAAAAAACTAATGGGAACAAATGTGTTTGTGAATGAACATCTCACAAAGAAGAATGCAGAGATTGCTTACCAAGCTAGGATGTTGAAGAAGGAGAAAAAAATACAGGCAACATGGACTAGGAATTGTAAGATACTGATTAAACTTAATGGTTCTCCTGAGCAAGCTAAGGTTCTAACTATTAAAAATGTTGTGGAGCTGGAGAAATATAGGTGAACAGTTTTGACTTGGTACTGCTGGGGGCTACAGTTTTTTATGTTTTTTTGCTTTTTTGGTTTTGAACAGATTGATGAAGTGAAGAATATATTATTTAGTCATGAGTCAAATAATGGAATTTAAGTGTTTTGATCCTACAGAACATACATTTTATGATATAGAAACTGATATAGACCCAGAATCCAACTTCAGTTATAATACTAAACAGCATTGTGAATATTACTCTGAAGACAGTATAAATGTGGGGCTAGGGGGCTTTTCAATAATTCATTTTAATAGTAGGAGTATGTATAGTAATTTCTCTCAGATAAAAAGCTACCTGGAAAAATTTGATGAGAAATTTAGTGTGGTAGCAATTTCAGAAACCTGGTTTACTGAGGAAAAAAGTCTGCTGGATAGTTTAGATGGATATCAAATGTTTAGTCAGAATAGGTTAAACAAGAGGGGAGGTGGTGTCGCACTGTTTGTAAGGTCTGGATTGACATGTACGGTTATTGCTAAAATGACATTTTCAGTTGAAAACTTGATGGAATGTTTATCTGTCAAAATTGAGGGTAATAGACCTGGCCATATGTTAATTAGTTGTGTTTATCGAACTCCTGGCTCATCTATAGATGAGTTTAGTAAGAAAGTATTAGAGACATATGAAGGGCTCAATGAAAAATTTACTTTTATTTGTGGAGATTTTAACATTGATTTGTTGAAATATAATGAGCATACTAATACGACAGAATTTATAAATACAATGTTTGGTTTAGGGTTTTATCCGTTTATCCTAAGACCTACACGGATAACTAAAGACAGTGCGTCATTGATTGATAACATTTTTATAAATAAGTTCAATGTGAAAACAAAAAGTGGATTGTTAGTCACTGACATAACTGATCATTTGCCTGTGTTCACTATGCTTGATATTAGTAATCAGTCCAATTTAAATATGACAAAGCAAATTATCAATTTAGTTAGAGTAAAATCACCTGAAGCTGTGGAAGAAATGAAAGTAGAATTTTTAAATTATAACTGGCAAAATGTTTATGTTGATGATGTTAATGAGTCATATAATATGTTTTTGGAAATATTTATGAAAATTTACAATCATTATTGTCCCCTTAAAGAATATAAACAAACATCCAAAAATAGATTGACTCCCTGGATGACAAAGAGTTTGGAGAAGGCATGTAAAAAGAAAAACAAGTTATATAAGGATTTCATTAAGTGCCCAACTCATGAAAAAGAAGGAAAATATAAAGTATATAAAAATAAGTTAACATCAGTGCTGAGAAAGCAAAAGCAGGATTATTATGATAGGTTGTTGCAAAAATATTGCAATGATATTAAGGGTACATGGAATACAATTAATAGTATTATTAAAAACAATAAAGATAGAGATTTCTCAATAAGTATTAAACACAACAACACAATAGTGGAAAAAAAGGAGGATATTGTTGAAGTCTTTAATAAGTACTTTGTTAATATCGGTCCTAATTTAGTAAGCAAATTGCCAATGGGTAGAGATGGAAAACATAATTATAAATTTAATAATATTAATACAATGTTCCTGGGAGAAGTGAGTGAAAGTGAGGTAATAGATGTAGTTAAAAATTTTAAAAATAAGAAATCCAAAGATTGTAATGATATTGACATGGCTGTTGTGAAAGAGGTCATTTATAGTATTATTAAACCTCTCACCTACATTTGTAATAGATCATTCTTAACTGGAACCTTTCCTGACAAAATGAAGATAGCAAAGGTTTTTCCAGTTCATAAAAGTGGAGACAAGCAAATATTAACAAATTACAGGCCGATATCATTGCTACCACAATTTTCAAAAACTTTGGAAAAATTATTCATGAAAAGACTGGATTCCTCTCTCAATAAAAATAATATATTGAACGAGCACCAGTACGGCATCAGGCACAACTGCTCCACAACTTTAGCTGTGATGGAGTTTGTGGAGCACATTGCAGCAGCAGTTGATCAGAAGCTTAATACCGTAGGTGTGTTTATTGACCTATGCAAGGCTTTTGATACTATTGACCACGCAAGACTATTGGGTAAATGTGAACTGTATGGCTTACGGGGAGTTGCATATCAGTGGTTAAAGAGTTATTTGGGTAATAGATTACAATATGTACAAATTAACAACACTAAGTCACAGACAGACATGGTAAAATGTGGTCTTCCTCAAGGCTCAGTCCTAGGACCTAAATTATTTATACTTTATCTAAATGATATTTTTGCAGTATCCAGTCTGTTAAAGTTTATAATGTTTGCAGACGATACAAATTTCTTTTTTTCTGGAAAAAATATGGATGAAATTATAAAAACAGTAGAAAAAGAGTTAGCTGAGTTGAAAACATGGTTTGATTACAATAAGTTATCGTTAAATGAAGGAAAAACTAAATTCATGGTTTTCTCTGGCAATCGGAACTATAATAATGTAAAGTTATGCATAAATGGAGTTGAAATCGAAAGAGTTTATGAGACAAAATTTTTAGGGATTATTATAGATAATAAACTTAGTTGGAAGCCTCACATAGGATATATTAGAAATAAAGTTGCAAAAACTATTGGAATACTGTTTAAAATAAAAGACTTAATAAATGTTAAAGGCTTGCATGTTATATATTCCTCTTTGGTTATGCCTTATTTGTCTTATTGTTCAGAAATCTGGGGAAATGCAAATAAAACAACTATTGATATATTAGTTAAGTTGCAAAAAAAAGCTATAAGGGTTATAAATAAGGTGGGATACCGTGAACCAACTGATAAACTCTTTATTCAAAGTAAAATATTAAAATTTAAAGATATTGTTTATATAAAAATACTGGAAATAATGTATAAAGCATTGAATAGAAGTCTTCCTTCTGGTATTCAAAAATTATTTAAGTTAAGAGAAAATAAATATAATTTGCGAAGTTTGTTTATATTTGAATGTGCAAAAGAGAAAAGTCAGATAAAGTCTAGATGTGTTTCAGTTATTGGCGTGAAACTGTGGAATGAATTAAATGATGAATTTAAGTTATGTCCTTTCTTGGTGAACTTTAAAAGAGCTTTAAAATGTAATATGATAAAATCTTACGTTCTTAAGTAGATCTATATTTGTACTATGTACTATGTAATCTGAATTTGTAGAAATCCTGGTTGTAAGGTAAAAAAAATAGGGTAGGCAAGAATAAGCTTTGCTTCGGCCTATTCCTTTTTTGGTAAACTGTGGGTTTGTCTATTGTTATTTTCTTTTTTCTTTTGTTGTTTCTTGTGTTTAATGTGGACAATTTACCAAATTTACCAAAATAAAGTGAAGTGAAGAAGAAGAAGTGTGTTGCTGACAAAGGTTCACAATTTTTTGCAATCTAATATTTTCAACAATGTGCTGTTTGTGGAATCTAATCTTTTTTGCATTACAAATACTCGGTTGATTTATCTTTATCTAAATTGTACCAAATCTCAACAAATGTTTCTTCCAAGACACAGTCCAATTTAAGCCATTCTGTAATGGCTGCAAGTACTGTAATATAATTAGAATCCCACCAGTTCCAATTCACACATTGTAACCAAAATGAGCTAGCTTTCCTAACTAAGGAAGCTGGGAATATGTGTTAAGAAAAATTGATGACCTGCCCATACATGTTTCTATATAAGCTTTGAACAAAATTCCAATATAGCAATTATCTAAAGGTTTTTCTTTAGCAGCATTCAATTAAGAGTTGAGAACATATGCCGACTGCAAAGGCATGCTGGACATGAATGTAGAGTAATATCCTACCCAGTGCAAGCAGATCCTATTTGGCTGATCATGTCAAGGTCCACTTTATCCAGGTGTATCTGCTTCACTGCACTCAACACCTTCTGTTGGTCCACTGGATTTTTGACACCAATCTGATAAATGGAGGATAAAAAGGTATTTTCTTGTACATTTTTATTATACTGCTGTACATCCTTCCTCGAGTGTTTAACCCCTTGTGTTCCTCTAGTGCTAAACCTAAAATATGGGTCAGTGCAGACCCTAACACAAGAGGAAGGTTAACTATCACATACTTTTATGGGCTGAGGTTTAGCAAAGCAACCCAAAAGAGTGTGTAATGCCATCAGTTTGATCTTAACAGCGGTGACAACAGTTCCCATCTTTTCTGGGTCACTCTCAAACCTGCTTATAAGCAGCACAGTTTACAAACAGACTAAATGTACAGTCATGTTCTACCCTCTCAAAGTCCTCCTTCTCCATGGTTAACAAGTAGCTCCAGGTGATGTCATTTTCCTGCACATAAGAATATGTAAAAGTCAGTGGCAGAACAAAATGTACCAAATGAAAACTCCTACAGATGTTTAGAGATGTTGTATTGATGAGTTTTCCCCACATAGTAAAAACAAGCTATGTGTATCCCTCAGGCTGAGTCATCATATTTCAGAAAAGGCTAACCCTGAATTTATTCTGGGATTTTATACCATACAAAAAAAAAAAAACAGTCAATGACAGTGGAATAGTTATTTGGGATTTACTGACTATCCCTCATTGCCATTATAAAACATCATACTCTGTGTAACAGTATGCTTACAATTTTGATATCTGTAACACAAGGAAGCAGCAATTTCTCATTACGAAAAACTAAAACATTAAAAAACAAGCAAACATTCAAAAATACATTAAAATCCCATTTTGGTGTGTAGATTAGAACTTACAGTCATGATGTCTACGAGATAACCCAGATCAAGGCCATGTAGGAGAAGTTCAAGATCATCAAACTTGGTTGCACTGAGTGGGGTAGAAAATAAATCATAAATTATAAAGAAATGAAAATAAATAAGTTTAATCGACAATAAATCAACAATAAATAAATAAAAATAACACACTTAAATACAGTAAATAAAAAACACATACTGTCCAAAGTATGGAAAAAAAATATATTTTTGCAATCATAAATATGTAGAGCATTAAAAAGCGCTAATCTGAATAAGAAACTGTGCTTTCTAACTATTAAAGGAATTTCAGACCATTTACATGCAGGTTTAGATGCCAAAAACTGTTGTGGCATGAGACCATTGAGCTAAGAACTTTGCTTCTTTAAATTTGGTTGAGACTACATTCTTCTACACTTTTAACAACAAAATGAGTAAAACAGTATTTTATGTGTCATCTCCACTTAAAAAAACTGGTAAAAAAAATGACTGTTGAAGAAGTTTTTCCAACACATGCTCTTGGCATGATTATGTGAAATTATCATTTGAAGTCATTTGAAGTCATCTGATATATGATACTATATATATATATATATATATATATATAGATATATATATAATATTTGATTAATTGAAACTATAATTTGAGGTAGTTGAGGGGAATTAGTGAAAGCTTAAAGCTTAGCCAGGCTTAAAAAGTTATCATTATGTAACTGAAAACTGTGGCTTTACTCTTTACTCTGATCTGTAAAACATTCATAATATGATCATTAAAATAATGTGGCTTACAGGAGTGAACTGACGCTAAAATGGAAATAACCAGTGATTCCTGGTGCTTTACTTAGTTGAATGTAATTTTTCCAACTCATACTAATTGTGCAATGCAGTTTTAGGGAGCCAAACTTTGAACAAAAAGGTTTGCTATTGTTTATGTCTTGTTGGATACCAGATCAACACCTTCTACACTGGCATCGGGATGTGAAAACTCAACAGGGTGTGATGAGCAGACAAGCTGGAGTGAGTAGAAAAATATTCCACTGAAAAATACAGGAGAAAATCTGTGGAATGCAAGATTGTATGAAGATCGTATGAAGATCACAACTTCATCATACATGATCATCATATAGATAAAGATTAGATCTGTAAAAATATCTGGCAGACCTGCTTTGCTTTGTTTCAATTTCACATTAATTCACACTTGAAAATTTTACAAACCTATCTTTAAATTGATACAAATTTTCAGAAAATCTAATAACTGCTAGAACAGTTGAGTAAAAAAAAACATCAGAAACAGCAGAAATGTTGACTGTTTCATGAATGATGAAGACGTTCCATAGGATTTAATTGTACCACACTACATACAATGAGTTTTATTCATGAGAGATCCAATAACTTTAGGTTTATAAACAGTTGAGCAAGAAAATTAACTAAAAATGAATAATGTACGTTTCTTCTCGCAAAGCTAACACAATAAAAATATCAATCCATTCATTTTCGTAACCGCTAAGTTCGTAAGTCCCAGGGGGACTGGACCCTATCCCAGTAGTCAATGGGTGAGAGGGGGGGTACACCCTGGACGGTCCCCAGTCAATCGCAGGGACACACAGAGACTGACAAGAACGAACAACCACGCACACTCACACTCACTGCTCAGGGCAATTTGGAATGTCCAATCAACCTAAAATGCAGGTTTTTTTAAAGTGGGAGGAAGCCGTAGAACCCAGAGAGAACCCCCGCAGACACAGGGAGAACATGCAAACTCCACACAGAAAGGTCCTGGTTCCCCCAGGAGAAAGAACAGAATACCTATTACTGCACGTCTTACCTCTCCCCAGAAGATGGAAAATTTGAGTTAGTCTTAAAGAACTTTGACAGTGTCTCATCCATGGAATTAATGGCCTGAACAGCAGAAATGCTTGATGAAGTGGTTAAGATTCTGGTTATCTGTCGAGAGAGACGTGTATTGAAATATATGTTGAGCACATGCCAAGCAATGGTAAAATAAAATGAAAAAATACATATAATTTAGGAACTCAATGAATTATCTGATGTACCTGTGCGTGTCTGAAGATTTCCGACAGATCAGCGGGGCTCTTGCCAGTCTCTGTCCTTATGGTTTTGTCTGCTCCAAGTTGAAGGAGCTTTAACACTGCTTCTTCTCTGCCATACTGGGCTGCTATAGACAAAGCCTGAGAAAAGTATATCAGCATTAGTTATATAGACAAAGTCAGAATATAATTAACATTTTGAGAACGTTGTCTCTGTATGGTGTCTTATCCTCACAGAAAGAATTTAGTATTGTAAAAGAAGTAACCGACAGTGTATCCATTGCTGTCCTGGGAGTCGATTTGTGCACCATGGGACACAAGCTGGTTGATGATTTTGCTGTGGCCCTCCCTGGCTGCCAACATCAAGCATGTCATCTGAGACCTGATAATAGACCACAGTAAAGAAAAAAAGAGGTTACAAAAAGGTAAATATTTAGAAAAATACGTTAGCGAACAGAAAAGCCAGCCAGGCTAAGGTATTGACACAAGTAGAGATGAAAATATGATTTAAGTAAATGACAAAGATAGCATGGCCTGAACAAGAAAGAACAATAATGGGAAAAACCTACAGATCAGACATTGGATCAGTGAAAGTGATAATCTGGGAGTGCAGACACACCACCAGAGGGCAGGAAACACCACATTATGGATGAGGATAATTATTGCCACACAAACAAACACATGTAATCTTATAATCAAGTCATAATAACCTGTAATACAGGTGCTTCTCTAAAATCAAAGTATGTTTTAAAGAGGATATCACTATACTTATACAGACATTCGCAAACATATCCTTTTTTACATAGTGGGATTAGTGTCTCTTCGCTACTACACCCAAGTGGTAATATTCAAAACTAGGACTACAGAAAAAATAATTATGAAAATATATCCTCCTGTTGACAACAGACAAAGACACAAATTAGTTAAATAAAATAAACCTATTGTAATAAACCTATTGTGACTCTTTCAATTGCTGTCTCCTCTGTTTTCTGATATCCAGCAAACCAAAGTACATTTAAATTAAATCTGGCAATACTATGCATAGGCTCAGGGTTGTGTGGAGTCAAAACATTTAACTATATTTTACACAGTACATTACATCATATCTGATTGTATCTAGTTGTATTTATACATTCTGCCCCATTTCTGGTTAAGTAAGTGAGATAGGAGAAGAATAATTATCTAGTTAGATTTGCAAAAAAACTATGAAATACTATATTTTGGAGGCAATAACATAGGGACCCCAGAGCAACAGGCAAAAAGCCAAAGATTTTCTAATAACGAGATTGTCAAATATTCAAAAGTGTTTAGAAACTTTTATAGAAATAAGAATAGGTATGAAATTAATATGCAATTAAAGTGTTTAAAGTATTAAAGTTTTAATTTGCAATTGGATAAGCACCAGTTTCACAATAATTGCTGCCTCAGGTGACACTCATCTTCTGCAAACACTTCACCACCTGCAAACAAAGACAAAGCCCTCTAACAAGCAGTTGACCAGAAACGTAGCACATATGTGCTGTTGTCACTGGCTTTAAAATACTGCTTTATTTTTCCGATGGTTGTAAATGTAGCATTTTCTCGTTTAACCCAATGTAGCCAAGAGAACAAATATACATTTAAAAAATGTTGTTGAAGTTGAGCTAGTTTCTGTGCAGCGTCACCCACTCGAAGTTGGGAATATCAGTGCAGTGGGTACAATCAATCATTGCAATTCATCAAAAAAACATCTGATGTCACTTCATTTCATTAGCTTTCACTCTGCTTAACCCTTATATTATCTTAGGGGTCAATTTGACCCGTTTCAGTTTTTGGGTTGATCAAAGTGCTGGTTATCCTTTTTTTTTCTTCATGAAATTTGGTGACTTTTCCTCATCTGGGGTCATGAACTTGTGTGTCAAATCTGGTCACTTTAAAGTAGTGGGGTGTCTGTGCAGAGTTTGTATACAAGGATGATGTTGCGGGTCATTTTGACCCGGACACATTAATGTGGGCAAGTAGCTGTTCAGATCCAAAATAACATGTCTCTTCAGTGTACTTGTATTTTCATTGCCTCCGAGACCCAGACCAAGGTGTGTGTGAAGGGTCTGGGTCTGAAGGTCTGTGTAAAATACTCAACATCACCACACAAAAGTCGAGGCAGACTGTCATCATCCAATGTGATCAATATGACTCCCGGTCATACAAGATTTGCCGTCACAAGAGTTGATTAGATTCAATCAGAATTTCAGATCTTCATATCCCCACCAATAGAGAGGATAATACTGGAAATGACCAACTTAGAGGGGAGACGTGTGTTTCAAGAGAAATGGAAGCCACTGGATCAGACTGACTTGCATGCTTACATTGGAGTTCTGTTATTAGCTGGAGTGTACAGGTAAAAGAGGAGTAGCGACTCCAAGTATATGGATTGAAGACAATCCTGGTCCCCATGTTACTGAAGATGAGAGTCTGGTTCCATTCAGGGGGAGCTGTCCTTTCCGACCGTACATGCCCGACAAGCCTGCCAAGAATGGCACCTAAATATGGGCAGTCTGTGATGCAAAATCCAGTTATACATGGAATCTGGAAGTATACACAGGAAAGTCACCTAGAGGAAAATCTGAGAAGAATCAGGGTGTGCGTGTGGTGCTGGAGATTACTGAAGCGTTGCAAGGTCATATCATCACCTGTGACCACCTTTTTACGTCCTACCGCCTTGGAGAAGAACTTCAGAAGAGAAAGCTGACCATGTTGGGAACAGTCAGAAGAAATAAGCCAGAACTTCTCAGTGAAATTCAGAAGATGCAGAGCAGACCAAAGTATTTGCTTTCATTGAGAAAGTGACAGTTGTCTCATAATGCCCAAAGAGAAACAAGAATGTTCTTGTAATGAGTACAATGTAAACTGATGCATCTCTGCGCACAACAGAGGACTTGAAGTCACAAATGATCCTGGGTTATAAATCCTCCAAAGGAGGAGTTGACAATCTGTACAGAGTCACTGCAACATACAGCAATTAGAGCAGGACTGCTAGTTTGATCCAGACTCGAGTTGGGCTAGCTTGATCCCCAGTAGCAGCAGCTATCATTGAAAAGCTAAAGCTCAGGTCCCCCAACCAACATCCAGTGAACAGGTGAAAAAGAAAGGGAAAGCAAGGATGCCAGGTCTGTTCATCCCAAGGAGACAGTAAAATAAGTACCTCTTGTGTGAATTGTAAGAATTACATCTACAAAAAGTACACAGTAAAATTCCGAAATGTGTTTGTGAAGAGGGAAAAACCAAAACAAAATGGTGATAGATAGATAGATAGATAGATAGATAGATAGATAGATAGATAGATAGATAGATAGATAGATAGATAGATAGATAGATAGATAGATAAGTTTGCAGATACATCTTAATTAGTGCAGGAAAGTATTATCAAAATGGATTATATTAACTAACCCCAAAAATCATTAAGAGTTGTACTTTATCTGCATTCAGGTGAACTGTTAATGCCATCTTAATTTGTTAGCAGCACAAAGGCCAATTTTCTAAAAAAATAAAAAATAAAATCTTGGATGGAAATTGGCCCTAGACAGAGGTAATGTTAGTAAAAAAAAAAAAGGTGCGTCTCTTGTGCACGTCAGAGGGTTGGCGATAAAACTGACAACCTTTATTTACCAAGTCAAATTCCAACCAATTCCATGAAATCTGAAAGTCCTGTTCAATGTGTAACGTGCATTATCTTTACATGTATACTAACTCTTTACAGCTTTACTAACATCCCTCTATTCTCACCAACTTGACACCAAGTCATTGAGTACAGAGGAAATGGTATCTGGTGCCGTATTTCTTGTCACATTCCCAAAGCTATTGTATCTTCAAAAGGACAGTTTTGCTGTGGGACATTTCCAAAAGTCCCACATATATTGTTTTTGTGACTGTTATGTGCAAGACTGTGAGTTTTTATGAATGAACTAACAGCCACCTGATCGCTAAGCTGATCGTTCACGGCAAAAAAACGACAAAAAAATAAATATAGACACACACACACACACACATATATATATATATATATATATATATATATATACACATACATACTTGTGTATTTTCTATATAAATAATCACAAATTCAAGGTCAACAACAAAAAATAGCACACATAGACTTAGCCAACGTCAGCAAATAAACCAAAAAGGGTTGTAAAGATCCCGGCATTTTAAGTCACTTTCCTTTTCCATCAAAGTTCTCAATATGTCCTCAATATTCTACTCTCCCCCTTGTAACGTATGCAAGTCTCTCAAGTGCAACAGCACTCCATTGTACAAACTTTCAAAGGAGGAAAATCCTCTCTATTCTAAGTTATCCTGGCCTGCAGGAGACCAAAGTCTATTCTTTTTTAATCCAAGCAACATTTTCCGTACACATCATCTAACTTACTGTTCCTAGGCAGACAGTTACCTACAAAAAACAAAAAAATCAAGGAGTAATGAGAGATCGTCTTTTTCTTGTCACGTGGGCCTGAACAAACAAAATGTCATGATGAAAACTATCATAAGAGAAGAGACTGAGTGTGTGCCATGTTAAGTTTGCTGTTGGGATGTTTTTCATGACAGTTGTAAGATTTTGACTTACCATTGGATAGTCAGCTTGTTAATGATTTATTTCCATGTAAAACATTCACAGGTTTTAACAATAATAAAAAGTATTAAAAAAAAGAAAAAAGTATCGAGTCAGAATTGAAAAGTGTTTTGGCGGTGCAGCCTATATGCCTAATCCTTATCTAGTTTATAACACAAACGGTTTACTTACATAACCATTTTTTTTTCATTTACAAAACAATGAAAACTTTAACATTTAGCCCCCCCTTTTCCTTAATCTTGAATGCAACTGGAATAATCAACATAACCATCAATAATATGCTTACTTTTTCATCAAATGGGCAACAGTTTTTCCGGATTGATCCAACAAGACATTGATTGATGTATTAGGTGTGTGAGAATAACACAGGTCACCATCACTTCCCTAAATGAATTATAGTTTGAGAATAACACAGGCCTTCGTCACTTCCCTAAATGTATTATAGTTTGAGAATAAAACAGGTCTTCATCACTTCCCTAAATGTATTATAGTTTGAGAAGAACTCATCCCTTCCATAAACAATGTATAGGAACCAAGATTGTGACAATAGGACACCTATCAGCATGAAAAAATTGCAAAATGTACAGGCAAACCATGATAAGGCAGCTTTGATTCAAGTTTGATGGGGAAAAAAAATCACTCTATTGCTGAATGGAAATTAAACTTTAGCCTCCTTAACCAACTTTAGTTAACAGACCAGTGCAGTGAACATTAATTGAACAAGAAAAAACTAAACAAAATGACAAAATAAACATGAGACAATGGACCCGACACCATGCCCCCTCATTTCTCAGTTTTGAGAAACGACAGACATAAGTTGTTTACACTATAGCGGAGGGACATGCAGCTGGTGTTAATCAAGAGTTTGATACTCAGACGTAAGAGGGACTGAGAATGATGAGGGAGTTTAGTCCTGTGCACCCACATTAACCTCACATTCTGCTTTTCCTTTAGAGTTGGACGCTGTTGGCCCCTCGTCTCTCATTATTCACTGCATACTTCTGTCTTTTGTTATGCTGCTTTAAATTGTTTGTCTTTGCGGGACTTGATCAATTTCCTAATGCTCCGTCATCAGAGATTTCAGATGGTATTTCAGTCCTGCAAGTGAGGTGCACAGGGGTCACAGGTACTGAGGAATAGAGAAAACTAAAAAACAAAGTAAACCGGGGGACTTCTGGGGAGCAAAAATACACAGATGGTTACAGTAGAATGCTTTAAAGATAAGATGGTTTTCAATCTTAAATCAATCTTCTTATTGCAGTCCGGTAAGGGGTTTCCAATCACTGTCTAACTGTTGCTTACTTTCCCTAAAGATTGTTTATTTAGTCATACATGTCAGAGACTTAAGCATGGCAATATAATATCAAGAATGTTTTCCTTATTGTGTAATGACTGAATTAATGTAGGGGCAGCAAAAACTAGTATTATATGCAGGACTCTACTTTTCTCTTTTCTACTGACTGCATCTCCAGACGCCATCTTTGGGGAAAAATATGTCTCCAATCCAAAGGTTTCTAAAATACTCTTGCCCACTCTTTACACTCTATGTTTGTTTGTCTGGCTGGTACCCGTCTGTGAATGCACATGCCAAAACAGGACATTCCAAACAAAACAAACAAAGATACACACATTGTATGAAGCACACTAGTGCATAATGCTACCACATGGAAGTTAGGCATAAAGGGAACCATCAAAGGAAATCTGATCGAGCACCTCCATCTCCTTTAGGCCCTCATTCTTGTGAATAGTTTTATGGCTGCATATTGTGTTGTAAATCCCACAAATATTTGAAAATAAAACATTGTTCTACCCCTTCCCTTTCTCACCCATCCACCATGTTGGGATCAGCATTCCTGGACAGCAGAAGCTCCACACAATGGGCAATTTTGTCCTCACTGGCAGAGGCGGTGCAACTGGCCATGAGGACAGTCCACTTATCTGTACACGAGCAAACAACAATTTAAAAGGAAATATTGAAATTGATGTCATAAAATAACTCAAAATGTAATAAATGTGTTTCAGACAAAGGGAGAACAGCTTCTTGAAAACTGGGATATCTCTAAACACATTGCAGCTTACAGAAACACCTGTGCAGATGTTGCACCACATATGTGCATACATTATACACATAAACATATGGGTGTTTCTGCGTCTGTATGTAGGTTCCCATGTCTTTGAGGCAGTGGATGTTTGGCTCTATATTTGTGAGTGAATGTGTGTGTTTACATTATGTGTGTGTAAGTGTAAACCAGACTGTCTAGTTCACATCCATTGAGAAGAGGAGTTCTCAGGGCAGGAAATTGATGAGAAAGGAGGACACCAGCCTGGCGACATCATTTATCATTTATCACTTGTGTATTTCTCCTCTTATCCCACTGCATTGACCAACGGTAAAATAATGCAACCACACATCATCCTTCTGTTAAATTGTTTCCTTCACCTGCCTCAAGCATCAGATGCCAAGCCCATGTGATATCAGTCACACACAAAATCAGTTTAACTTTGCATTTTGAACTGAAATCTAATAAACAAGAGGTATCAAGAGTACAACTAGTGCTTAGGTTTGAATCTAGGTTTGGGGACTTTGAGAGGGCAAGTAAAAGGTTTCCTCTTTACACTTCGGATCAAGAAGATACTTTTGTTCACTTTTTCATATGTTGAGGAATACACACACATGTAGGCAACATGTGGTGGAAACTCATGCCAAATATTTATTCTTAATCTGATGACTACAATGTATAATATGTCTGAGGCTATAGCTGAAACTCAGCAAGAGCATGCTGTTGTGAGTGTTTGTGTATAAAAGACCAGAAAACTATTTTAACCAGAGTGACCTCAATCTAACAGATGCCTTCAATTTTTATTGCTTTGGGATGAAGGTCCAGACAGCTTTAACTAAGAACATAAAGGATAAGCAGTGTGTTCCTCCAAGGGGTCTTTCTTTGTCGTCATCACCATAAAGTAATGTCAGATGAAGAGTGCTTGAACATTAGTTTGATAGGAAAAATATCTGGACACCAATCCAACAGGGGCACAAAAGGGTTACGTGTGGCTGTTTGGTATTCAAGCCTGGGGGATAACAATGAAATGCTATTGCTGAATCGAACCATCTTCCCTCACAACAGAATCATAATGAAAATATCACCTCTAAAAATGATTTAGTGGTGCACAATGAGCTTGTCAAGTAAGCACACCAAAGGCTCAAGACTGAGTTCTGAGGGAATACAATTTCCAATCCCGGTTAATCATGCTACAGGTGTAATTACGAAAAGGTTTCAGAAAGCTCAGGTGAGAACCAAGAGGCAGGACTGTTTAAACTTTAAAACTCTAAAATAATAGAACATGATAAAAGGGTAGGCGAGATAGAGAAGAAAATTTGTACGGTTGAGTTCACGGGGATGAGACACAAGCATGAATTGCGTTACCTACTACACAAGGATATAGATTTCGCATAATGCTGCGAAGATTTTCAAAACAGACTTCCACGTAACGACATGAAGGCAGCGAAGGCCAGGACATGGTATGCTTTGTATAAGATTTTATAGGCACAACTCTGAGTAAGCAGGAAAGGACTTGAAAATAGGGATAACACAAAGAGCATGCATGTCCAAGCTGACAGATGCTACCTGTCCTCCAAAGGTTATAATCACAAGATTTTGAGACTTTACTGTAAAAGAAAGCTTAATGCGTGTCCAGAGTGCAATCTAACCCCAATAACCTAAGGCAAAAGCAAACACCACAAAATATCTGTATAATGGCAAACTTTAGATCCAACAAAAAACTGGAGAAAAGAGGTATTCAATGCTAAAAGGGGCAGCCACCAAATTACAAGAGCACTATGTCTTGGGGAGGACAAATGAGAAGAAACAACTGGAAAAAGCTCATGGGCGGACAGGTAGATGCTGGGAAGAGCACGCAGTGAGCTTAATTCACTTCTGCCAACTATTACGCTTACTTATATAGAGCAAAACAGAATCCTACTTAAATACAGAAAAAACTGTGTATATGACATCAAACTTTAATTTTGTTTTCCCTGGATGTTCTGGTTATGTATAAGTCAGTCATTCTATTTAATATGTTTTTACAGGATTACACATCCAACTACAGTTTTGCTGCAACATGATGAAGAGCTAATACAGATACTAATGTAATATACAGATGTAATACAAATTCTTACCTTTGCTGAAATTGGCACTTGCCCCTCTGTCCAGTAGGAATTTGGCCAATTCATAGTTTGCCATATTGGCAGCATGCATTAGAGGGGTCCATTCAAAGCCAAGCCTTATTTCCACATTTACACCTGTCCGCACCAAAACCAAGAAAGTAACACTTATTGGTTGTTAAAGCAAGTGGCACATCAGTAATTGTAGCATTGTTGAAAAGTATGCTTGTGATGGTAGAACTAATGAGGAGGTTTTGTTGCAGTTTAGGAACACGTCTTTTCTTCAGAGGTCATTTCAACAGGACGTCAGATCTCATTCTGCACTAGTGAAACCGCGGCTTCATTGACACGGTATATTTGAGCTTGGCTTGTTTGCCTACAATCCAGATGAGACATCGGTCTGTATTCTATACGTTACAAGGAGATTCTGAAGTTGAAGACTAGGCTTTTGAGTAGATAAAAATGTTCATATCCATTTGATCAACCAACCATGTAGCAAGTTCATTATAGACATTAACCAAGTACTTGCCATTCTCCAGCAGTTGTCCAACAGCATCTATGTCTCCTTCATTAATGGCTCTTTGAAGCACCGATACATCATCCTCTGCACGCAGTACAACAGTATCGAGATCCTGAAAAAGCAAAGTAAAATCATCATAAATCATACCATTCCAGAAACAATTTTGATCCAAGACAAAAAAAATTCCACCCTTTGTCTTAAAAGAAATTAAATAGAGCAGAAAAATTACGAACAAACGTCAAAGGTCAAAACCACAAGAAGAGGGTCAAAGGGCACCTTTTCGACTATGTTAAATTATTTAAACTTTAAAAAATCAAATACTGCAACTCATATCTTGTTTCGAACAGTGTAGCAATTAAAAACCACGAGTAGCCTACTTGCTTCAAGGAGAAATAAAAATAAAACTATAAAGCCTAATATGCAGCTAAGACTAGCTACTCATGAGAAGATGCTAATTCGGAGTGCTAAAGTCCTGTTCTACAAGCAAATCCTAAAGAAAAAATGGTCACTTTTTCACCTTCGTGCAAGAATGTTTCTCATCTGAAAAAGAGCCGATATCCCAGTCATCATTACTGGTGTCGGTTTCATCTCCTGCGGGAAAGAAGTCCATGACCACAGGTGACCAAGTCTCTGTGAAGCTAATGTTTTTTGGCGTGGACAACAGTCTACGAAAGTTCCGCGTGCACAGCGCGGGGATGGGCGGAGCTTGGTAATATCAAATATTAGTTGCTTCATATCAGCAGGAGTTGCTATTCTGTGGAACTTTTCACTTTTTCAGTATACTGTAGTTGGTTTATTCTGTGTTATTTTTAAAAAAAATTTCTTGTTTGTAATATGTGCTAGGTAATACATGCTTGCTAGGTATTTTATCATCACATAAATAAACGACAACTTTGCTTTATAAATTCATAAATATTCATTTTCTAGATTGAAACAGCAAGCACAAGTGGTTGCTGAGTCTAAATAACAAAATTATTTGAAGTTCATGCAATATGCACTAAAAGCAAAACCTCCCATTACTTTTGGTGTGGTGTATGACACTGTGGGTGTGGTTTGGGTGTGCTCATTTGCTCGGGTAGGTGTGGCTTTGGAGGAGCTGGCTGCACACCTGAACCTATGCTCTGAAGCAGTATTTAGAGGCTGGTCTCCTGTGTGTTCGCTGCCAGATGGTCACCGCTTTATTGGTACATAGGCCAGTGTTTTCTCAAGAATACCGTTAGATGACAACTACTTTGAGATTTCCTACCTTACCTGTGCTTTTTATCTCTAGGATCCAGCTTCAGCCCTACCTTCCAGGCCCAGCCACACCTTCCACTTCCCTCATCTACAGCAGGTACCCCTCCTGAAACTGCCTGCCTCAACTACCTGCCCCTGTGTCCTCTACCTTACCTTTTCCCCTCAGTCTCAAATAAATGGTCTTTTTCTCCTTCCCCAACGTCTGGTATCTGCATTCTGGGGCTAGCTCTATCGAAACATAACATACGGTTTATTAAAAAGTATATATCTGAGAGATTGAGAAGATACCTCATGACACATTTTGCCTCGATAGATTGAAAGTGTTCAGTCAAATCTGGAAGAGAGGGTAGTATGTTGTAGTGACGCCAGATTCTGAGAGACTTCTGGCAAATTTTCAAAAATCTGTTTTTTTTATTTACTTCAATTGGTATAGAAATTGATTTTCAGAAAAAGAACATTATCTGTATAAGATGTATAAAAGCGAGGGAAATATTATTTGCCATGACCTTTTAAAAGAAATGTCATGGGAAAACCAAATTAAACTCCTGAATCAAGTGAAACTCCCTCAAGGTCCTAAAAAAACTACAGAAGATTCACCTGGACTTGTCAAGAAGGATTCGACTGACATTTTGATTATCGATTTAAAAAAAGAAACTCTATAGTTTTGATGCCTGTTCCCCCTTTACGTAGGTAGTTCCAGGACTTGCGGGAGTTGGAGTTCCGCCATCAGCACGCGAAGATGCTGGCTGCGAATAATGAGATTCTCAGAGAGTCAGTAAAATCCCATCCCATCTCTTGGAAGAAAACAAATAAATAAATACATATATAATTTATCTTCAGTCTCTCAGTAGCCTGGGATTGCTTGCTTGTAGTAAATGCAGTACTACAGAATTGTGTGATACTGTGACTCTTCACTTTAAGGTGCCCAGAATGACAGCTGAAAGACTGATGTCAGAGGACAGATGATAGAACCATATGTGCCATTTGTGTTTTTATTACAATTTACCAAGAGAAGCTTACACCATCTGCCGAAAAATCACGGCCTACCTTCATCCTTTCGGGATTTAAAAACTGGCAAAAAATTATTGAAAATAACTGGAACACAAAACATTTCTGGGCAAGAACAAGAAAATATTTGCATCTGCAATGTTAACAATGAAGCCTCGTGGAAACTTCATTGGTTTGCATTCTATTTTTGAAACCACAGGAAGAAGCCTCGCTGGAGTAGTGAAAGATATGCTTCTGTGGTTAAACTTACCAGTGCATGGTAAAAACTTATGACAGGGCAGCTAATATAATTTGGAAGCATGCTTGTGCACAGGCACTGATAAAACAAGACCAGCCACAAGTCACTGTGCTAAATGAATTGCAAAGAAAACTTGCTTAGTCTCTGTTCTGATGAGAGACACACTGGATTGTCCATTTTTATCTCAAAAGAGATCAAGAAAGTTTCAGACTCTATTTAAAGAGTTGACGGCGCATCAGCCTAATTGGCTGAAGATTGCCTGGGGGATTGTCTTTAGAGGTGTGTAGACTATTATGTCAACTAGAAACCGTGGTCAGGTTGATGTTGGTCATCTTCTGAGGCAGAGAGACATTTTAGTGCCCTCTGTTCTGTCTAAAAACTTGTCTCCAGTAAACGGTGACTTAAAACACACAACCATGTTGCTGTCTGTCATGTCCGTCAGGATAAACCAGACTTGCTAGGCTGGAAGTTAATTTGCAGGTAATTTGTAGCTGCAATTGAAGGGAGGAAAAAGCAGAAAAGAAACCAATTCACTCCCCCAAAACATCTGGGACAGACTGATATTCTGCAGAAGGTACAGGGTTGGACTGCTGAGGACTGGGGTAGAGTAATTTTCTCTGAAGAATCCCCTTTGCAATAGTTTGGGGAATCTGGCAAAAAGCTTCTTCGGAGAAGACCTCGTAAGCTCAGCCATCTGTCCTGTTTCATGCCAACAGTAAAGCATCCTGAGACCATTCATGTGTGGAACTGCTTCTCAGTAAAGGGAGTAAACCGACTCACAATCTTCCCAAAATGATTTTTTTTAAAACATGAATAATCTTGAAAAAAGTATTTTTTTTTGTAAAACACGAATAAAGCATAGTACCAGAACGTCTCCAAGAGCAACTTTTCCCAACCACCCAAAAGCAGTTTTGTGATAAACAATGCCTTTCTTCAGCATGACGGAGCACCTTGCCATAAAGCATAAGCAATTAATAAATGTCTTAGGGAACAAAACATAAAGATTTTGTGTTCGAAGCCAGGAAACTCCCCACATCTTAATCCCACACAGAACTTGTGGTCTATTCTCAAAAGGTGGGTGGACAAACAAATACTGACAATATCTGAAATATTCCAGTCAGAATTTGATTGACAGCATGCCAGGGATAATGGCAGAGGTCTTAGAAAGGAAGGGTTAACACTGCAAATAATGACTTGTTGCATGAAGTCAGTGTAATTGTCAATAAAATGTTTAGATACTCTTGAAATGCTTGTCAGACAAAACATCTGGAAACCCTGAAGTAGCAGACCCTGTGAAAATATAATATTTGTGTCATTCTGAAACCTTTTTGCCACGACTGTACATGTAGTTGTTGTAGCACAACCGAGCTGTGGACTTTATTTCATTGGCCAAAGTTTATAACAGAGTAGGACTATTTTACTGGTCTTTTCTTATTTTTAGCAACAGGCATAAAATCAAAGAGTATTATCATATGGTATGACAACTTAACATTTTTGTGTTTTTAATAATATTAAAAGTTGAATGATTAGTTTTTCACTTCATTCATGTTTTTTTCTGTTATGTCCAAAAGTTATGTAAAGAACCAGCTCAATTTCCAGTCCACTTACAAATGATATATTGTACACTCTTGTGTTTTGCTAAATGCCAGTGCTGCCACTTAAAAAAAGTGTAAACTCTGGAATTGCATAAGAAACAAAAGACTTTTAACTCATTTTGGTCATTTTGTTGATCTGAAGAGGGAGAATTGTTTTTTCTGGGTGGTTTGCCACTTTTTATGATCATTACACATATACATGCATTATACATACATTTACATAGGTGTGCATAACATTATTTTCCAATGGAAACATTTGAAAGAAGTAGAAAAAGTAAACCACATACAATTTTGTGAATGCAGTGTCAATTTCACCCAGAAAATAACCCTAACCTTAACCCTAAAAATTGCGGAGAAGAATATTCTTTTCCCCTCACAAATTTTTAACACTCCATCATGTTGTACACTCATGATCATTACCCTTAAAATATTGAAGGAATTTTCTGAAAACAGATGATCTTTACATTACATTCGTCAGAATAAGACTTTCTTCAGTCAAACTATAACTTCAGTTAAACTATAACTATGACTTTAAACCACAACTGACTTGAAACAAATCTGCATTGTTTCTTCTCTTTTTAGGGGTTTAGCTATTCTGAATGGCATTCCAAGGTAGATTATGCAACATGTTTTTTTTATTTATTTTCATAATCAAAATAAACTAAACCCTTTATTTCCCAAAGAACATATTTAAGATTCTATACGAATTTGAAATAATCTGTAAATTGTAATTTCTCAGTCCATCCAACCCAGCTATGAGTTCATGTGAGGGAGATGAAAACATTCTGTTTACCATTTGAGCATTGGTAAATTATCCATCTTCAGTTCTTTGGTTGAAATGTCTGTTTTGTGTAGTTTTTATAGTGACTGATAAATGTATAGCAATTTTTATTTGAACTTAATTTAAACCATGGACACAACTGTATATAAGCAAAGAAATCCATTGTCCAAAAAATATCAACAGGCTATTGGTAGTATATCTATTATTCAAAGGCAAACGAAGAAAAAAAAATTCCCAATTTTGTCCTGTGGCTTTTCTTGTGCTGATGATAAACAAACAAAAAACAAACAAATAAACAAAAAAGCGCCTACCCAGGTGCATACTGGTCTTATACCTGTCTACCTCTTTTGGGTGCTTGATGCTCCGGGTAAAACCTTCTGATATCAGATTCTCTTAAAAAAAACATTGTTAGTATTTTAAATGTAAACACAAAAACAAAGTTTAAAACAAAAAATAGATACACTCCTATATTAGGTACAATTAAGTGTCTTGATTTTATTTTGTCCATTCATAACTCACCTAAATGTTTAACTTCCTTTTTCGTCTAACAGAACCCCGTTTCTGTGTGACTGTGTGTGAGTTAACTGTAAGTGCCAGTGTTTTGCCAACTGAAATGAAAACACTAGTCTTGAACACCCGCTCAACACAAAAAAAAAATACTCTTGCTGGCTTAACTCTTAACTGCAGAAGGATTCAAACCAATATGGGCAGACTATCCATGTGTTTCAAACAGGCAGTGTTGCACAATTGTACATAAGTTCACATTTGCAAAATTACTGCAAGTGTTATGCACAGGCCTTGGGCTCATACTTGTGGTAATTCCCACTAAACTGTTGCTACTATAGATTAGCACTGTGTGTTTGTTGATTTATAGTATGCAGACGCAAAACTAACAACCTTTTCCAATTTGTTTAATCTTTTTAATCTTTGTTCTCTTTAGGAATGTCTTGAAGTTTTGATCCTCCCTCTCCTGAAACTGTGTGTAACCTGAAACTGATAAAACAAAAAAAAAAGTTTCAAGTTCCCACTGATGTTTCGGAACTGTTCCTGCTATTTTGTTATTCATAAAGAGCGTAAAAATTCACAGCAAGGCACAGAGAGGTGGTGCTAGCAGATTATCAGCTCTGTCTGTTTATCTGTCAAGTTATTTATGTATATACATAACTCAAATTAGACTTAACTGATTCGATTGGATTCAGTGTGATAGTTTTTTTTAATCAAAAAAGTTGTTTTAGCTATCATGAACTGAAATAACAAACTTTTGACCACTGTGAGTAATAATAGTAATAATAATATTCTTCATAATGATTGGAAAATATGCTGTTGTCATTGGTGAGATGATTAAATAAACTGATTTAACGTGCTTGTGGGCAAAGTTCTACGGTACTCCCTTCATATGACAGCAGGTGTCCACAAACACATCAGCAGGCCTTTTTCTTCCTTTCTTTGTTGCCACAATACGCAACCTGAGGTGCATTTGCGGGGAAGTGACGTCTCTCCGCGAGTTTTGGCGAGTCAGCCCATAAAAGATGGACTGTCCTCTCTGTTACTCTGAGTAAACGGGAGCAGGAGCAAAGATAACACGAGCACTTGCTGCTCTGATGAGGGAAAGTAACCGGGCAGAGACATTACATTTAGCGTAGAGACAAAGTCGGAGATAAAAACTTACTTCTCTATCAGTTAGTGGGAACGGAGCTACGCTGAAGAGATCGATGTGACGCGTAAGGACCCTCAGGTGTAAAGAAATCAAACTGGCGGCGCTAGGATGCAGAAGTCACCGGTGGAAGATGCCAATCTGTTCTCCAAATTCATCTTTTGGTATGTATTTTATACCCACAGGAGTTGTGAGTTGATGGCACTGTGTCGATCTGTGATGCAAAGACAACCGAATAAACAGACTCAGAATGTCGCTTGAAGACGTGCTTGAAGGGAAAGTGATTCAGTTAATACGTTTTGTTGGAATAATAAATAGTTGCTTCAATAATAAACTCCTTTTCAAAGTTTGGTTTTGACTTATGGGATAAGAACTTTGAGACTAAGCTTGCAATGCCATAGGGAGGATACGAGAATTGTTCTTATCTAAATCGTGACTTTTTGAAAGGCGCACGCTGTTCAGAGCTACTTTGTCCTTAGATAAGGTTTGTTTTTCAGGTTAGGTGGCCAGCTTTTGAGATGTAATTTTAGATGTAATGGTTATGACGTCTAAAAAGCGAATACATTCTTGTGGGGTAGACCAGAGGAATGCATGTCATCTTACATGTTTTATGCAAAATATTATATAACAAAGTTATTGGTCTATACAGTGCAATTTGTAATCATAGTAAAACATTGAGACTCGACTGTTTCATATGTTCTGTTTCGTCAAAATGACATAGATACTAAAATGATATATCTTGCGTTTTACTGTGATAGTGAAACCGCATACTCATCTCACTCCATTGCCCTTACGCAGTAACTTTGATATAAATGGTAAAAATGTCCTCTCACTGTTAACTAAAATTCTGTGTTGATTAACAAAAGTAAAAGTTTTATTTCTATTTAAACTATTTTATCTATACAGCGCCCTTGACCCTGAACATTCATGTCCTAAGTCCCAGTGGATTTAAAAAATAGATTGATAGAATTTGATATTTTTACTGACAGATTTCTGTGTTTGTATCCATTTTTTTCAGTGACTCTAGCCTCAAGAAGCTGATATTTAAACATCTGATTTTACACACAGGTGGATATCACCGCTGTTGAGAAAGGGCTTCACTAAGAAGTTAGAGCTGTCAGATGTGTACAAGGCTCCATCTTATGATTTGGCTGATACCCTCTCAGAGAGACTTGAAAGGTTTGTGCATCCCATTTGACTTATTTTGAATATTCTTTCAGTGGCCCCACAAACAGAAACCAGGATGATAAAAGCAGATTTGTTTGAAAGAATTTATCAATAGTAGATTGATAACTACCCCGCGACCCCATTAGGGATTAAGCGGCATTGATAATGGATGGATGGATGGATAGATTGATAACTATGTACTATTTTAAAATGTTTAGTGATTCTATTCTTTTTTGTGTCAGAGATGGTAAAAAGCTGGAGATTAAGACTGTCAATTGTAACATAAACCAAATACCCTCCAGTTCACATTAAAAGTCAACATAAGCCAGCCAGAATAGCCATATCTTTTTACCGCCTTCAACATGCCTTTTAAGGCATCATAAAAACCAAAGGTACAAAACAACAGTCTCTCAATATTTCATAAACGTTGATTCACACATAAGCTTTAGTTTAAAAATGAATTGCCTTTTGTGTCGTGCATGATGTTTACAGTAGCGAGACAAGGACTTCTACTAAGTCCTCTTAAAATATGGGCTGGCATTTAAAAACTGGGTTAGACATAAACTTAACTTGTGTATGGCAACAAACAACCAGTAATCAGATGATGGACATTATCTCTTTTCCTGCTTTAAAAATATCTGTCACTTTCTTTTTTCTCTTTATTTCCATTTTCAATGGCATAGGGTTGTTTTTGATAAATCATATTTCTTTTCTACTTTCTTTTGTCTGTCAGTCTTCACTTTTTCTTTGCTAGTTTAGCCACAACTTGCTAGATGGCACTTAATTGGGGCACTTGATAGTTAGTTGTTTCTAACAAGGAAAGTAATAATGATTTTAGGCAAAGTTTAGTTACTCGTCTGTTCTTTGGTTAGATCTTCTGTTACAATATTTGTCATATTTTTCTGTTAACTGTTCCTTTGCTATTTTTATTCCAATAGATAAATTATAACTATTTTTATGTACATTTTAATGAAAAATATCTTAATAAAATATTTAATTCCTCTTTCTTTTTGTTGTGGTGTCCCTCATTGGCCTTACATCACCCAGGGGCCTTGATCACATTGAGTGGTGCCAACAAGCCGGTTAATATACACGAGTGTTAAAAAGTCAACCTTTAGAAAGGTTCCAGTGCTAACTGGGTGATAAATGAGTTGTTGTGGGTGATGATGCTCTTTTTACTCTGATTGGCAAACAGCAAAGGTCTCTGGGAATTTGAACTTTACCTTTCAGCGAAGTTTGCTCTACCAGCCACTTCATCACTCTGAACTAAGCTTAAGTCAACAAAGTTTACAGGCATGAATAGGATTGGTATGACCTATTCTGAAATTTAGTCAAGTAATATAAAGATTTTACTACAATGCTTGAATTCACCATAAATGTTCAATTTTACCATCTAAAAACCTTTTCATTGACAAAGAAATTCTACTAATTTTCTATAAATTATGATAATTTAGTAATATCATTAAATTTTTTCTTAAATTTGGCAGCCCACGGAAATCATTGTAGTTTGTTGCATTAACCAGTTAGTAAAGACTGAGATAACTGCTAGTAATTTAAGTATTTGCTACTTTATTGTATGGGATATTCAAGATTGAGCCTAAATTTGAATTGATTTTATTTTCTTCACTCATCAGCAATTTGCTATCAGTAGAAACTCTTACTTCTGTGGTTTTGAAGTGGAGGAACAGAAAACCCAACCAGATATGCAACAAAAAGCAAAGCATCAGATCTCTCTGAAATGTTAACCAATGATTTGTATTTAAAATGAATTGTTGTGAGTATTTACTCTTCATCAATAATATTATATAGATAAATATTCCTCCCCCCCTGCCTAAAAAAAGAAGAAAAGACCGGCAGCAGAAAAATGACTCCCATGGCCACGATTCCTTTTTTTGGGTAAAATTTGTGTTTTTCTCCCTGTGTGCTTAGATTGCTGTTTAACTATGTGCAATTCTGTCCACTCTACAGAGAATGGGACAGAGAGGTTGTGTCAGCCAAGAACAGGCCCAGGCTGATGAAGGCACTAGCCCGCTGCTTTTTTGTTCCTTTCGCCTTCTTTGGTGTCCTTCTCTATCTTGGGGTGAGTCTGTAGAGCTGCCATTACTTGTGCAAGCAAAACTAGGATGCAGTTGCAAAAATGTTAAACTTGGAAATGACCTTTACTGAGCAATCAATGTGCTATGCTCTTCAAAAAAGAAATATCTATGCCAACTAATAACGTAATCTTAATGTCTATATTGAATAAAGTGCATAAATGGAGATCTGATGCTAAAGATGAAATGCTGCCGTCTCAACAGATGACTGTGGATCCAAGTGCACTCACTCACTACAGACTTATATATGATATTCTGAATTCTTGACACAAACAATCTAGAGCCTAATTTCAGCAATTAGATTTTGGTTTGTTATTTCTATTAAACAACCTCTAGATTTTCTGACTTGTCCATTGTCTAGGTGACACCCAGGTACTTGGAGTCTTCCACTACTTCTACTGAGATGTGCAATCAATCTTGTTCACAACGTGACTGTGTTGACAGTCTGACAGAAAAAAAGAGAAAAATTAGAGCAAGTTTCCTGGTCATTTGTCTATATTGACTCGTATAGATTACATGCTATCTGAGTCCATTTAACACAGCACATGACACATGACATGACACAAGAAACACTTTGGAGCTTGGATGGCATTCCTTGGCCCATTTGGGTCAAGTTTAGGAAGCTGTGGGTCATGGAAGCTGTAGCTGGAATGAGTCTGGAGACAGAGATGAGAATATTAAACATTAAGGAGACTGAGATGATCTCAGTAAAACATGTTTATTTCATTGGCATTGTACAACCTGCTATTAGTATAATCCCACTTTAAATCGAGGATGTTGTCTTTTACATCCCAGACGAGGTGTCCAGCACAATGTTGTGCTTCTAATGTAATTTTATACTTCTCACAAACCCCCTGTTTCCCTCCCATATACCTCTCTGGTATATGTTCAAAGGCAAAGGTAATATTTAAGGTAATATTTAACTGAGGACTCTTGAGAAACTCTTCCATCCATCTTAAAACATGGGAAAAAACAACTGCAGGAGTGCTGTAATTGTCTTCTCTTGAAGAACATATACATAATATATTTGTGTCTGAAGGATATGTAATGTAATTTTATGACAAAAATAAACGGTAAATAAATGACTTATATGCCATTTTCTTTGTGTAGTCGATACAGCATTATGGCCCACATAGTGTGAGTTCAGCCATCTGATTGGCAGACAACTACGCTCCTGGGTGAAAGCTTTTCCCGCAGTATCATACTCTTTCACTCTTACAGATTATTAATCTTTATTTGCAGTATATTTTAAGTGTGTTTCCTTGCCAAAGAGGACCAACAAAATAACAGTGAAAGCATTTGAACTTCACAAGCACACAAATAACTTACAAACTAATGCCCTGTCTCACTCATGAGAAGGTGAAAACAGTAGCCACCGTCTAAGCCAGTATTTTAAGTTGGTTGTCTCGACTGTTTCACGAAACCCTAGGAAATCAGAAATTGTTCGATAAAGGAGTCATTGGAACCCAGTAGTTGACTTCTCATGAAATGTGTGGTATATATATGTGAATTAATGAATAATAGCTGTATTAAAGAGTGCTAAAGAGTACTTATGTCTTTACAACTCGTTGATACAGTTTGCCCTGGGATTAAAGTGCTCTTTATTTTTTTCTTCTTTTTTAATTCATTTTACAGGAGGCTTCAAAGACAGTGCAACCTCAGCTTTCGGGTCGCATAATTGCTTCCTTTGACCCATTTCATGCTCCAGAGAGAAGTCAGGGGTACTACCTTGCCCTTGGACTTGGCCTACTCTTCACTGCCCGCTTCATCCTGTTGCAACCTGCCCTGTTTGGCTTGCATCATCTTGGAATGCAGATTCGCATTGCTCTTTTTAGCCTTATATACAAGAAAGTAAGAGAAAGAAAAGTTGCATTATACATTTTTTTTAAATAGAATTTAAACCATACATACATACCTACATACCTATATACATACATACATACATACATACATACATACATACATACATACA